AAACATTCTTTTGATAATGTTACCTTCCAAATTATAGAAGTCAACACCGAGTGGGACACCACGGCGAGAAGGAGAAGAGAAAATTTTTGGATCCACCAACTCCACACTTTAGAACCTGATGGTCTTAACGAAAAAGATGAGAAAAGATACAGGAAAGATAAAGAATAATTTAGTACACAGCATCGTCCTTTTTATCCTGTAATATTGGCCAATGGACGTTGCTAACTTCAACTACCAATTTTGTAAAAATCTTGAACTTCATCCAAATTATGTATTATTTTCAAGGCAGCTAAATTCAAGTGCAACATATACATTGAGCTGCAAAAGTTTCTTATCATCTACATCCGATTTCACCTGGATAGATACACGCTTGATAAAGCTAGTTAGTCTAGCGAAATATTGCGTTTATTTTCATCATTTTGTAAATATTTTAAACATTCTTATATTTACATACTAAATAGTGTGTTAAAATTACATTGTTAGGCAATTTATATATATAGTATATATATATATATATATAAAAGTCTAAATTGAAAACAACGTTCAAACCTATGATTGCAATGGATAAAAACCGCAATTTTTATACGTGTGCATGTAAAACAAATTTCGTGGTAGAGGGGTCTAAATACAGCACAAACAACAATTTCCAAAAGACCCAAAAAAGTGAAAAAGTCTATTTTAACAAAACTCATTTGACTAACAGGTCGAACAACTGATGTTCTTAAACCCTGCTGACTGCCATTGGCGATTGCCAAATAAATTGATCACCAGATCTAACAAAATGGATCTTAATATTAATTTAATACCAAACAGAAAACAATAAACTTGTGGAAAAGATGGTATACCACAAACATGAGGTGCAAAAATGTGTACACCATATCCGGATTTCGACAATTAATGTCTCTTCAGTGATGTTAGGGATCGAAACGGTATTTGGAAGGCCATATAATTTACCTCAATTTAGGAAAGACTCTTGAATTTTAAAGAGTCGAAATAGGATGAACGGATCATATAAACCCGAAGGAAAATATAATACAAGCCCAAACGAAAAAATATATAAAAGTCTAAATTGAAAACAACGTTCAAACCTATGATTGCGTTGGATAAAAACCGCAATTTTTATACGTGTGCATGTAAAACAAATTTCTAGGTAGAGGGGTCTAAATACAACACAAACAACAATTTCCAAAAGACCAAAAAAAGTGAAAAAGTCTATTTTAACAAAACGCATTTGACTAACAGGTCGAACAACTGATGTTCTTAAACCCTGCTGACTGCCATTGGCGATTGCCAAATAAATTGATCACCAGATCTAATATATATATGTAACACTCAGAAACGTGTCCTTCCCCCCAAACGTGTCCGATTCCCCCAAACGTGTCCACACGACGTCACTGAACTGCAAAACATGTATAAATGTAAAAGGGCGCCAAAGCGTGTCATTTGTTTAAACGCCCAAACGTGTCCATTTTTTAATGAACACACAAACGTGCCCAATCCCCCAAACGTGTCCATATAAAGCTTAATTTTTTTTCTTTTACTGGAACTATCATTCGTGTCCATATTATAAATACGTAGGTTATTTGGTTATTGTTTTTTTTTCAATAACGTATACTCATTTTACTATTTCATTAAAAAATAGAAATAAATTACTTTAGGTCTTTTTTAAACCGGCAGTATAACCTGGTTAAAAGTGGGGGCGTCCGTTCGGCTATGTTGGATGTAAATGTAAGCAGCCATGCTCAGTTAAATTTTAGATTTTAAATCAGATACCTCATGTAGGGAGAATGTCACATTCTCTGCGCATTAAAATACCTTTGTAGCAATTCACTCTTTCATGGTGCCATCAGTTGTATTTTGGAAGGCAACATTTTTTTTAAATTTCCGCAACTTTTATTTAAAACGGCCTCTATTACATAACGGCCCAATCCTAAATTACCGGTATGATAATAGAACCTATATACAGTATTTATTGTTAACATGATTTCGTTCAAATAATGCATGAAATATTTGGCACTGGACGTTATTTCTCTTGTTCGTGTGTCTTTAGTGATGCTCGAAACCTAAAATTTATTAGAAACCCGGAAAACCAGTTTTTGATTTGAAGAACTTTTAAAATATCAGAACTGTTGAAAAAAGGGAAGTCAATTCTGCTGAAAGCCCGCCGTCGGATTAATATAAAAGTCATCATCGGAGTTTATGAGTAACACATAATTTACATAGAACGATTAATTCAACTGCACTAGAATTATTTGTATGTTCGCTCTAAATGAGCATGAAATACTTGCAACTGGACAATAAGCAAATTCAGTCAAAAGTTAATTCATATGTTACATATTAAATTTGCAATTATGATAATCATTAACAACCGGCATTGAACAAACTAATGCTAATAAATTACTACCTCATCAACTGTTTCCCCCATCATAGAATTGCCGTAAACGTTATTGATTTCATTTAGGACATACATGTATTAGCGCTAAAAGACGTGAGACGTTCTGGCGTTTAAAAGTGGACACGTTTTGGCGAATAACAATTATCGGACACGTTTGGGGGTTATGAAATCGGACACGTTTGGGCAACATTGAATATTACGGACACGTTTGGGGGTAATAGACACGTTTGGGGGAATCGGACACGTTTGGGGGGAAGGACACGTTTGGGAGTGTTACATATATACGTCAATTGATAGTACATATTGACGATATAGGCACGTAAACACTGAGACTACTATAGAATAATACTATCCTTTGGACTACGCATCGACCATTCATCTTTTGATTCTTATACCTTCACCCTCCCCGGCCACACAAACACATACACACACACAGTCGACGCCTCATGCAGAAGATCTGTTCTGTTCATAATATCTAACAAAATTCAAGAAATTCATATTTTCTGATATCCTGTATTGTAAAATCCCTACCTGCTTAGGAATTTCAATAATTATGGTCATTACACGTAGATCTGAGAGTACTCGAAGTTACTGACAGCTAGTTGATTGATTGATTGATTGCTGAACGTCTAATGGCAAATAGTTCATGCATGTTCAGGACAAAAACAAATTTAAAACAAATACAACAGGTAACTAGGTCCTGTAATAGTTGTCATCCAGGATGAAGTTATGGAAATTTGGAAATGCCATGCATTGGAAAATGAGGGTTTATCGGATATGAACAGGATTTTTTCCCTTCTTCAGACCACCTGCGAACCCCCCAAAGAGTTGTTGCAAGTGTTCTTAACGTGCATAGAGCTTGGCATTCTCTCTACACTAGGCATTGGATTTAATGTCCTCATTCTCACCAGACGTGACTGCGTATTTATACATCCCGCATAGCCAAAGAGACGCCCAACTTTGGCAAGGGTTTTATTGTAGGTCGGATGAAGACCAAGTGGAAAGCTAGTTGAAAGCCAACAACAACTAATTAAAAAAAAATGTATCTAAGAATAAAATATCAGGGTTTTGAGCATGTTGAGGTTCATTCAAGTATTTGTTTATAGAAGTGAAATGATCAGGACCAAAGTTCTAGTTTTTAGTTTCTATCTATAATGACATACAATTCTATCCAATACTCCATTCGCTTAGGATGATAGACTAGTGTGGAAATGACATTTGCTAATTAAAGAGTTTTCATCTATACAGATAACGTTGTTTATTATTTTTTTTTTATCAAAAAAAATATTTGTGAAAACATTATGTGTAGGCACGTGCCTAAAGTGCCTAATGGCAGCTACGCCCCTGCCTTTAGAGGGATTGTTTGTTCACAGCTTGAAACATCCTAATTGGTTTTATGGTCAACTCGACTTTTAGAAATCGATGATCCCCGTGGTTTCAATTCTTGTTCATTTCATGTCTCCATATAATTAATGTGTATGATGTTATTCACATGTATTTGATTTTGTTGGGTTATTTATTGTTTGTATATAATGGAGAAGGCTTTCCGATCCTTTTGTCATTGTTTTGGGACAATACAATATGTTTAAACTAAACTTGGACGACTGCTTTATACTCTTGACAAATATCAATGAATGAACCGAATAACGTCTGTATCTGTATGATATAAAGCAAAAACTATTTTTTTCAAGTCCTAAAAAGGCTGTTAACTCAAGAAAGATACGAACAAATACCCAGCAAGGAACCAAAAGTAAAGAAATGTGTAAGACCAAATTGTGAATCAGGATATAATCTATTTTTATATAAATATTGTTGTTTGAAGCGCTTTTCTTGATTTTTCTTCACCAGTGATGCTCAAACACAAAAATTTTAAACAAAAGAATGTGTAAATACCTTAATACATGACCTAGGAAATCAGTTAACTTACGATTTGATTGTTTATATTGTCAACTTTATTATGAAAATGTGATTTGAAAACTTTATTTGCAAAGAAAAGGTATTTCTCAATTTATTTTATTGATGCCATTCCTTGTGTAAGTAAATATAAACTTTTTTTCTCACTACAATTATAATTCGCCAGAAACTTAGCCCAACAATGTTAGATCTGCAAAATTTTTGAAAACCAATTGTTGTCCTCCATGTACCTTGGTGGGATTTGAATTGATGATCCAGTGACTTTGTGAAAACTCTGCCTGCATCATCAACATAAATAAGAATTAGAGAATAATTAGATAAAACCATGCAGCAAATATTTCATACATACAGTGGATTATAAACATGTAACTTTATAACGAAAACATTGGGGTGCTTTTTTACTATATGATACAAGCTGAAAGATTATTCACAATTCAAAACAAAAAGACAGTTCACTCTAACATATATGCCAATTTCTCCATCGTATAAATTCGGCCCATACCAAATCATACTTTGATTTAGAAATGCAAATCAAACACCACCTACAAAACCCAAGGTCAACTACCCTACCAAGAAATCACTGGTGATTGGCTAATAACTTCAAGCAACAACCCACAAGACTTAAGGTCAATCACACTACCAAGGGACAATTGGTGAGCTATACAATTAAATATATAACGGAAGACAATAATGGTATTTGAAATTTTAATATTTTCTACAAAACATATTTTAAACTGTATATACATTTTATATTTTCATTCTACGATTACATGTAGCTTCAATCTACACTATACATATATGAAACTTGAAGCTAATAAACCTTTTACCTGAACTGAACATTCTTGACAATTTTTTTCTAAATGGTTACTTTGCTGCTTTTTATAAACATTTGGTAACTTTTAAAAGCTAACTAAATATATGCCCAAAATTAAAACTCTGAAGAAAAAGTAGAAATTTTGTAATTGTTTACTTTTAATTATTTTTTTTGCATTTACAATTGTTGGATTAACAGTCATGTGAAATTATCAATTTAGATTTCAGGAGATCTGTTTTGATGCACTTTAGTGCAAAATTTAAACTGAATTTTCCAAGAAAAGATAAATCATTTTCCATAAATAGAACCAACCTTTTCTTTCATACACATGTACATATAAATTCTGATTGGGAATATTACTGTACCTTTTATTTTCTTCAAAAATAGAAATTTGTTGAGTTTGTCAAAGAACTTTTGTTTTCAAACTTTCAAGCAAAAAACATTTGTTAAAGAAAAATACACTAATTTCTATTAAGACTTTTAAAATTTAACCATAACCATCTGAAAGCCTTGTTAGGATTTTTGGGGTACAGAATATATTTTCATTTTAAGTTTGGAAAATGGGGGATTTCTTTTCAGGATACTTTTAAATTTAATGATATGGAATATCTTCATTATCTTCAGGGGATATCTGATGAAAGGATTCAATGGATGTTGGATTTTTTGCTCCCTTAAACCTCTGACAGAGAACTCCACTTTTAAATCTTTATAAGAATTAGTGAACTAACAGTAAATTCTAAACATCATTTAAAATGTCCACTATCTTGTACAAAAAATTATTATAAATCCCTCTAAAAATGGTTTATATCACTTTTTCTTTACACTGAAGTAGCTATTATTGTCCCAGACTCTGTTGTGACGGTATAAATCAAAAGCTCTAAAATGACTAGCTGTAGATAATGATTCGGATGGAGCTGATAAACCAGGAAGTGAAAACTCTCCTTGTTCTTTTTGTAACTCTGCAGTGAAGAATTCCATCAAATCTGGTTCATTGGAATGTCTAATTGTCTGTAAAAGAAATCATTTGATGAATAAAACAAATGATAGGATCATATAAATTCATTTCAACTGTTAAGCGGATGCCACAAGTGGAGCAGGATCTGTGCTTACCCTTCCAGAGCACCTGAGATCATCCCAAGCTTTTGGTGGGGTTCATGTTGCTCAGTCTTCCGCTCTCTTTCAGAGTCACATTTTTACTAATTTGATAACTAGAGATATGCAACTTTTATACCACATTTTATTTTGGTGCATAGATTTTATTTCCAGCTCCATGTTAGTAATGTTCTTTGAATTGTACAGACGGCTGTATTTGAATATTACAAATTTTCACTATTTTTTAAATTTGGATTTTTCTTCTACAATATATTTCAGGCTAAAATGTAGTAAATATCAGTTTTTACAAGTATTCTCATAATTTTATCTTTGCAAGTCTATTGTCAAGAACTAATAAATTAATATTCTTATTGCTTAATAGAAGCAAGCAATTAATAATTTAGAAAGACATAAATAGCACAACAGTTTTAGATTTAGGACAAACTAGATTTTGAACTGTTCTGTAGACACATGTCTAAGGTTGGACTGTTGACCTCTCTATGTCTTATGATTTGTTGTGCTGTTGGGTTATTATCATTGATATGAATGAAAGGAAATGAGACAACAACCAAACAACAAATAAAACCAAAAGACCTTTTGACATTTCAGGACTTTGGTCTGGATGGTTGTCCTTTCCTGTGTTCTCCCCAGGATTTTCAAATAGCACCATGGAAATTTCCCAAAAATATAGCACCATGGCCCCTATACATTCTATTATGAATTCATCCAAGATAGCACCATGGTAGAAAATATAGCACCAGGGTACCACTGTGCTTTAAGTCCCTGGGGAGAACAATAGACTAGTTCTTTCAGTCCCTCTTAAATTATTTCTATTCCTAATTCAGGACAATTTAGATATTGAGATATTGCATATTATCTTTGTTGAAGACTGTGTATGTTGACTGCTCGATGACTTCTGAATGCTTCTAAATGTATACACCACATCTTCTTTATTCATATTTATTTCAAATCAGATAAGTTATTCCCATTACCACATACCTGAGATTTGGGTCTACTTGTTTTACTTGATACTTTGTTAGATTTACTCTGCTCTACTTGATTACATAAGTCCTCCACAGGAATCTCCAGGCTCACCAATCCACTAAACATACTGTCTTTTGTGTTCAATTTTGATGTAGCCTGATAAATACAAAGAAATTGCTGGTATATAATTACCTGCTCTAACTTATAAGCTATTCAATAAAAAACATAACAAATGGCAAAACATGCAAATTGTATAAAAACGCTGAGGATTTTTTTCCTACAAATCTGAGACCCACAAAGCAAATACTGTGGATTAGTTATTAAATATTCTTAGGATTCTTGGGATACTAATTTTTGTAGATTCTGTTAGTATAGAGTGACCATAAATTTAAATGTTCAAATTGGATGATTTAGTGCTTGACACTTTGCATATATTACATGTACTTATCAATTGTTGAAAACTGTAAATTGCATTTGAGATGTTCTTTTTATGGTTTTATTGAGTTTCATGGTTGCTGCCTTGTTTTGTATATCATACATTTCTTTTTTAATATACAATTTTGAAGAAAACCTTATTTTTCATATTGTTTGACAAAATAAACTAACTGAAGTAAACATTAAATTACTCCATCAGTGGTTTCCATCGCTCTCATAATCATACAAAATGGGAAGATAAAATATTTTCTATAAAAATAAGAAATACTGTGTCTTTTATCCATGTTCCAATTTGGAGAAGACGTAATTTTATATCACCATGGAAGATATCCAAATCTTAAAAATTGATTTTATTAAGCCTTTTCAAATCTCACTCATTTGTTGACACATTTTTACTTTAAGTTACAAAATTGAACATGTTTCTATAACTTATTACCTTTTCTGTTATTTCTGTTTTCTTAGTATCTGACAGTTGTAATTTCTTCTCTAAAGCTTTTGCTACATCAATTTCACTGTCTTTAATCTGCTGTAGTTCTGTTCGCATCCTTAGAGTACTATTGTACTCAGGCCTTTTAAACACGTGTTCATATTCCGAGGTGTCTGGCATACCATCCGAAAATGGATAATTATAGTCTGATAAAGGAGGCTGTCCTGCTGTCTCTCTTTTTACTTTAACTTTGCGTTTTGGGGCAGAATCTCCTTGACCTTTTATAAATACCTGATCTTTTTCAGAGTTGGAAGAAGAATCTGGTTTCTTAATGTCTTTATGTTTTGATCTGGTTCCCTGAGTTTTATGATTTTGTATATGGCAGACAGGTCTTGTGTCAGTTTGTTCATTGTATATAACTTCAGGTAACACAGAAATTTGTTCATGTTTACTAATAGTATCTGTCTGATCCTGATTCGTCGATTTTTGGTCAAAATGATCGGCTAATTTCATTTCCTTTGATTGGTCACTGCCATGCAGAGGAACATAAACAGTTTTATTATTCACCTTATTTACTGTATATTGAGTTGGTTTGTTTTTAGATTTGTTCTCACTATTAGAAGTGGAATCAATCAGATCCTTAGCATTATCATCACTATACGATGCTGGTTTGTATTGTTTTCCTGGACGACATCTTGGAAACAGAAACGAAGATTCCTCATTACCACCCTCACTTGATCCTTTGGAGTCGTCCAATTCAAATCTTACCCTATGCTGACCCTTGAACTTTCCATCTTCACAAACCCCATTTCTTAAATTACTTTTATGTTCTTTATCATTGGTTTCTAAGGCTTTTTCTGGGGTCAAGGTCAAGTCCAGATCAGGGTCAATTAAAGTGTCTCTGTTAACTTTGGTTGGCACAGGGGCATTTAACTGTCTACCTTGTACATTATTAAATTTTCCTGCTGATGATTTTTCAGGAGTTATACAAAGATCTGGATCTGGTCCAATCAAATTGGCAGCTGTTTTCCACGATGGGGCAGGAACTCTGTATAGGGGTAAGGAATCTTCTGAACTCTCAGATGTATCCCATCCTGGGGGAGGGAAACGACAGTGTGCCTTGTCACTAAGATTTAATAGTTCATACTGTGAAACAGCTCCATGACCTTTCTCAGGGGCCCTTGCTGAAGGAAATCTGTGAGGGAGAGGTTCTGTTGCTTGACAGATGAAATGTGTTGCCATTTTACAACAAAATCTTCATTTTATCCTGCAAAAATTAAAGAGAGAAAAATTACACATCTCTCTTTTTCATTACAAAAAGACTATAGGTAAAAGAAAAGTATCATTTCATTCAAGTTTTAACCAGACTAAATTAGTGCTTCAATGTAATAAATGTAGAATGTGTTCATGGGACACAAATGATGCCCCCACTTGCATATAACTTTGTAAAGGGACATAACTCAAGAATGGTAAAAGAGATGCAACTTAGGGTTCTCACTAAGGATTTTTGAAGGCGAGTCCAGGGACTCGTCATTTTTGGCCATGGTGAGTCCAACAGTGAGAAGAAGATATTTTATTGCAATGTAATTCATCATTTTAGCCTCCATGACCTAATAGAGCAATGAAATGACATTGAATTCAGATTACTTTTAAACTTTTGCTATAAAATTATGATATGTGTGTTCAGTTTATACAAAATATTTCAATTTTGATACATCTTTGGACTCATCAGTTTTGAAAATGGTGAGTCCAGACAGATTTTGATGAGTCCAGGACTCATGGACTCGCCTTAGTGAGAACCCAAATTCACACTTGATCTGTTTTTTGTGGTAATAAGCATCATGAGCATAGTGTATAAGTTTCATAACATTTAGTTGAAGTAAACTAAAGTTAGAGAACGGAAACAAAAAATTCAGCAATTTTTCCATATATAAAGGGACATAACACCAAAATGGTCAAAGTGACACCACCCCAAATTTGAACTTGATCTGTGTTTTGTGGTAATAAGCATTGTGTATAAATTTCATAAAATTTGGTTGAGGCAAACTAAAGTTAGAGAATGGAAACTAATTTTGGGATGTACAGGGGGAAGTACGGACCGACAAGGGTAACACTTAATGCCCCATCCGCCAGTGGCATAAAAATTCTGAATTTTGATTTATACCAAATTTTGGACAGTTACATTTGTCAGATCAGGGATTCAAATTAGTGTAGGTCCGAGGTCCTGGACCCGTCTCTTCTGGTAGGGGACTTTACATTTTTGAATTAAAAAAGTCAAGGACCTCCAATTCCTTACACTGATGCTTTATACATGACCTTTGACTTTCTTAAGGAGGACCTTTCTCTTAAAAATTCAAGTGGTCCTGGACCTTTCATTGTCTAAAGCAAATTTGATCCCCTGCAGATAAAATTAGTCACCCACACATACATGTACATTGTAGCAACATAGTTATTTCCAAAATAATATATTTCAAATCATAAAAATGTAACCCTGAGATTTGCATGAACAGGAATATGTGAAATTTAGTTTGGAAAATTTATAAATTTATTACATTTTCATAATTACATAATAAAAAAGAAATATCCAATTAGACTGCACTGCTAACTCTAGTCATGTTAACATGCAAAATAAACAAAGCAATTCATACACATTATAGTAAATCTAAATGTTCTCTCGTATTTTCCTCTAGTCTTTTGCTTTAATTCTTATAAAACTTCTTAAATAAATCATATTCATTTTATAAATAAAACAGGGTTTATAAATTGTCTGCCTTTAGTGGTAGGTTTTAATTTTTCATTACATGTAATGTACATGTACAATTTCATGGACAATGAAAATCTCTTTTACTTGTTATTTTTTTTCATAGTACTACCATGACTACCCATTTACAAAACTCAGGAATACATTTTTCAAGTCCTTTCAAAAATAACTTATCATCTACATGTACTTTTTGGTAAAGTTCTTTCTGAAGTTTTTTTTATTTTTAGATAAAAGTTTGAACTCTTAATTCTAATTAAACATAATTGTGAGTGAACTCATAAGATTTTAGATATACCCCAATCCCACACATTCAATTTTCTCCCCTTAACCATGTTGAGCCTGGATAACCTTTATTTACATTCTTGTGTAGTGTTTTTTCAACTGTGTAAAATTTTATCAATATCTGTCTACATGTGCAGGGGGAGTTGCGCTTACCAGAGACTGTAATTATATAACCACATATTGTAATATTGAAGTATTATATTTAAAAAAATCAAGTAGATGTGGTGTGATATCAGAGTAAAACTTCACTTTTGGAGAGTATAAAACAAATTTTTGCACCGAACTCTGTAAAATTTGACGGACCTGAATTTCAAAATTTTAACAGATTCTAAAAGGCTGATATGTCTTCTTTTCAATTCTTACTAGCTTTGGGAGTACAGAATGGTGATGTTAGTGTAAACAGCACAGGTTTGAGGTGCATATGCAAAACTTTTCCCGAATTATAAGGAAATCTAAGACGGTCAAATCAGAAAATCGCTCTCGACTCAGAATATCCAGAATCCCAAATGGGTTTATAATTATGTAAAAGAGAAATTTATCTCAAAATTATAGTCTTTCTTATCAATGAAAGCAGTATTTCACCACACAAAATTAGAGTTTGGGGATAATACCAATCAGTTATCCCAATCAGTTTGACAGTTGCTCAAAATATTTAACCAGTTTCTGGAAGTTATTAGTGTATGCAATGAATAAAGTAGTTGCCTTTATATTTAAATCCGTTATCTTAATCGGTTACATATATTATATAATCTTGACATTTTGGATTTAAAATTATATAAACAATACATATATGCAAGTGCAGTAAGAATACAACATCAACAAGTCTGTGCCTGCAAACAGCGATCTACAGCAAAATTTGCCTATGACTATGTCAAAAATACCCATTCGAATTGAGAAAGCTTTACCCCAATATTAAACTTGTTTTGTATCACACTACAGTCAATTCTTACATTAACAGATTAAGCAGAAAAGTTATTTGAAATTTGTAAATCGACGAGGAGCAACAGTCGCCATCTGTAAACAAAGCGGAAGAAAAATCTCTGTAAAGATTGTTAATTCACAGAAACAATTTTAGATAGTGCTAAATACCAAGTAAAATATTTATATACAATAAGAACGCTATGAATGGGAAATCTGAATTTGCTTTCTGGTCATTGATTGTTGTTTAACTCATCCCGCTTTCTAAACTTGTCGTGATACTCATACTATTTTTTTTTGAAATACTCATCTGTCTCTGCTTCAGTCAATAATTTTATTTTAGTACGTTGTTGTGTCTATATTGTTTTGTTTAGATTTGTTATATCTTTGATGATTTTCAGGAGAATCGTTTGAAGGATACATTTGACCCGAAGTTCAAGGTTAAAGGAAACGACAAGTGCGCTTGAACGGAATTACATAAACTAAATCAGAAAAATAGAAATGGCTAGTTCGGCAGTGGTCAAGATAGCTCCAGTAAAAAGAGCCTTATTACAATTAATTCAGGTATTGTTCATGCATTTCGAAATTGAATAGTTTATTTAGTCATTCGGACAAACTAAATTAGCTCACAAAAGGAGAGGATAGCCAAGAAAAAAGTATCAAACTATTCATCGTTCGGTTTCATAACATATATTTTACTGTCAATGTCAAATCGAAATATTTACAAGTTGTGCATTCGTATTTTTTCATAATATCAAAATTTTGTAGAGGCTCAACCTGAAGAGGACCTGTTGTGGAACATAAATTAATCATAAATTTGTGTTTCACTGTTTATGTAACTGTCATTTCGTGACTTTATCACTGTTTATGTAATGCAAATGAATGATTCTTAATGTCAATAATCATAATGTTATTGATGGGTACCCAGAGTATCTGAAAGGGATCACCTGAACTTGGCGATCGCAATATGGATATACCAGTATTGTTAACAATACTGGTATAAAATTTGATTCCAGTATTGGTTTTTTCTGTGATTTAGTATTGTATAATTATGGAATATTGTGTTAAGATGTACATGTAAGATGATGTGACTCAGACATGGGTTAATTGAAATATGTAATTGTTATTGGTTGTAATTAATTACAATTTCTCAAGTAATTGAATGTAATGTGTAATTGAGCATTTTTCAATTACAAGTAATTGAAAGTAATGAATTACAAAGCCAAAATTGTCTGTAAATGACAATTACTTTTCAATTACAACTCAATTACATTTGAAATTTGTGATCAGAAAGATTGAATCTTGTGTTTTCTCAAAAAATTATAAAAAGTCATGACCTTAGCAAATGTACGTGATGTAGTTAGCTGACAAATTAAAGCCTACACAGTATACCTTCTATAATTACACAACCATGGAAGATTCTTTATTTTGTAATGAATGAACAAAAAATTAAAAAGAAAAAAAAATATTGTAGAAACATGCCATAATTTGTATTTAAAAGAAACCATTAGTAAGTCACTGTCTTATACCTTAATTAGCTTGTTACCTACATGTATATTATCAGTAGTACTATATTATAGTATCAATTATTATTAATTAAAAAAAATTATTATTATTATTATTATTTATATTCAGATGGATATTGTTAGACATTGATTTAACATAATCAATTTGAAAGGTCACAAGTCATCGATAAATATAACCTCTGGCTATTTGTTTTATCATAAACTATATAATGACTGTTTTTACAACAGTTCTGTTTGCATGTTAAACAGGTGATAAGCCAATTAGAGAGAGATAAATATACCCCTAGGTACATGATTTTTTTTTTAAATTAATTAATTGTGATTAAAACTACATTATATTTGTTAAAAAGTCAGACTTTCTAAATCATTTCTTTAGGAAAAATAATTTTAATTAATTTTAATTTTAATAAGTTGTGATCAAAATAAAAAAAATAAAATTTTATCTAGATAGGGCTCTCTTCTTGTATCATTTTCAATGAAATACATTAAAACATAAAATTTCAATAGGTAATTAAACAACACCTAGTCCTAACAATTCCTGATAGACAAAGTATCATGTGCACTTCAGATTTATGTTTGTTTTTTCTTTATTCCCGTAACACACCAGATATTTAACTTTTACTCTTCTTTGATACTGGCTGAATTTGAAAATAGTCACTGTAGATCTCATTTGTTATTACTATAAAGCAATGTATGAAAATTAATGTTCTAAATTTTCCTTTCAAAAGTAATTGAAGTAATTAATTACATTTGCCAAGCAATTGGAAAGTAATTAATTACATTGTCAAAAAAAGTCAAGTGTAATGTGTAATTTAATTGAAGATTTTGTAATTGTAATTGAATGTAATTAATCATGTTAATTACTTTCAAAAGTAATTGACCCCATGGATGATGTGACTTATTGATATATGTAAGAAATAAACAGTTTATTCTGAATTGTTTAAACATTCATTATATTATATTTAAAAAGATAAGTTGCACTGTTTTCTTTGGTTGTTTTTTAAGATACATGTACAATGTAGCAAGTACTGCCAAGTAGCACTGATATCATATATTCCCTAATTTTCTTCTGAAGAGTTCTTGACAAGTTGCACTTTGTATTATAGTGACTGTTGATGTACATGATGTATATATGTATCCATTAATAATATAAAAATGATGTACAGATATTATTGTGTCTGACAGACAATAAATGACGAGGTACATGTATTCCTTTAATATCAACATGAGCTAAATCTTCAGTACTTCACTAAAAATCTTGCTGATACCTGTGACATGATGTATTGAATATTCCCAGCTAATACACTATAATCACGTTTTATCAACATAAAACATAATTTAATTAGATCATTACTTTTAACAATACTTGTAAAAGTCTGGTATATACAATCACATTTCAGTATTGTATTTAAAAAAAACCCATAATACTGGAATAAATTTTATACCCGTATTGTGATTGCAAAGTTCAGGTGATCCCTGAAAGCACAAAAAAAACCCATTCAAATCCAGAAATCCCATCAACATTTCTCAAAAGGGCAAATTCATATGGTCTAAAACTGGTTTTATAATATATTGATACACTTGTACATAATCATGATAATAAAAAAACTTTAATTTTGAGATACATGTATATGTCACAGTGTTCTAGCTAGAAACTGGGGGTTGAGGGGCACCTAGATAACTCAAAAACAGTCAAAAACAAGCTCAAAACTGGAAGGCAAGTTTCTACAAGAAAAACAATATTTTTTATGTGATCTTATATATACAAATGTAGTAAATAATGATAAAAATTATATTGCTATACAAGGAACTTGCACCTCATACTATCCACTATTAGTTCTCACTATTATTTCTATTGCAAAATTCCTAGATTGTCACGTGTCAGTCCTTTGAAAATTTTGGTGGTCAAAACCCTGATATAGTTTCAAAGGATAGGCTTTGTTTCTTTGGCATTGAAATTTTGGAATGAAAAGGAGGGATTGGATTGACAAGTTTCTGGGTTTAAGCTGAAATATAAATACAAAGTCCTTGATTTTGTGACAGCTAGACAAAATTTCAAACCCTTCATATCATACATACAATGAAACACTGTACAATGCATATATCATGTTTTTAATGAAGATTTCTTTTATCTTTTAGACAAGATGTGCACAGACAGCAGCAGCTACAGAGGTTGCTCCAAGAATGAAGAAATTCTCCATCTATAGATTTGTAAGTTGAAACAGTCATGTTGAATATCTCAACATTACCTACAGATCTGAAGAGTCAGATATCATTGGTCATGAAAGTGCAAAATTGGAAGATAGAATAAGAATAAGAAATTTTGATTTAAAGATTCTTCACAGTATGGAAGCCTTGTTAGAATATTTTGTGCAGTGCAACATATTCATCTTAATTTGTTTCAGTAATTTTTTTGGTTTCTTCTAAAAGGTTTGGTCTTTTTTTAAAAAGAAATTTCACATGTATTATTACTTTATATTATTTTTGAATTGACTGATAGTACAGTACACACTGCAACATAGTCTGATAAAAAGTCTTACAGTATCTTCTATGTATATACTTGTATTAAGTGTCAGAATGAAATTTATGGAAAGATAAAACATTTGTGTACTTTTACAGAACCCAGAAAAGCAAGGTGACAAACCCAAAGTACAGACATATGAACTGGATCTTAATAAGTAAGTTATAAATATAATAGTTATACAGTCAACTACAGGATTTTGTAAAGACCTTTACTACCTATGGTCTTAAACAGTCAGTTATATGGTAAACTGCTATCAATTATGCACTTATTAACAAATTCTTTCCTACAATAAAGAAGATTGGACTAAAAACCTTTATATTTTTTTCCTGTAGTATGTATGCAACAGGAAGTGAAATCACTTAGAATCATTAGTATGTGTGTTAAATTTTCTTTCAATATGTTAGTAGTCATACATAAAATTGAGAATGGAAACAGGGAATGTGTCAAAGAGACAACAACTTAACCAAAGAACAGAAAACAGCTCTAGGACACCAATAGGTTTCAACACAGCAAGAAAATCCTGCACCTGGAGGCAGGCTTTAGCTTGCACCTAAACAAAAATGTATACTGGTTCAGAGAATATGGAGGTCACACTAAACTCCGAAACATAAATGAACCAAAACATGTACATTTGTATTTGCCAGTTTTGTCCTAAATTCACACTTATGTCAGTTATGACCTGCATAAACATGATAAATATTCAGAATTGTTATGATTGATCCATTTGTTGTTGACATGGAGTCCCCATGTCATGAACAGAATAAATCAGTTACCATTTGAATAGCTAGCTGGTTATAAAACTGACATCTTTGGAGTACCGGTATCCTTCAATACACAGTGTCCCTCTTATTCTATTCTACTGCTGTCTTGGACTTGTTGCCTCTTATCAAGTTGACCTGTGTTTTAAACACTTAACAAGATGTAAGGATTAAAAAAAATTATTATAAGCATACATTTTATAAGCAAATGTATACTGTAAATTCAGAAATTATCTAGCGGATTTTATTATTGTGAATAATGCGACTGGATGCGAATCACAATAATAAGGACTCTTATTCTGTTATCCGATACATATATACGATTGCTGATTTTCCTGAAATCGCAATAACTAATCTAGCATTTTTGTCCTTTCTTCAAAAATCGCAATAACAAATGCTTGCAATAATATCTGAATTTACAGTACATCAAGTTAAATTGTTTTGCCAAAAGCATATTTACTGATTTGTATACATATATCTTTGTGTGTAGACTCTTATAACAGCATAAATATTGTGATAGTTTTACCAGTAATGATAGATGATGATAAATTTTAGATGTGGTCCTATGGTTTTGGATGCATTGATCAAGATAAAGGATGAAATGGATCCAACTTTGACCTTTAGAAGGTCATGTAGGGAAGGTATTTGTGGATCATGTTCCATGAACATTGGTGGTGAAAACACACTAGCATGTCTACGGTTAGTACATAGTTCAAAGTTTATTATTTTCCAATTAAGAAACCCTGAAGGGACATATTGACAGTAATACACAGTACATTCTTATTCATAACCCATAAAAATATAAATGGAGATTAAATTGAAATTCACATAAAGTGAATGAGATTACCATAGAATATATTTCATATAAGAGAACAGAAGTCTATTCATTTTATGGCCTAATGAACAAGTAGTTTTTTCAATGTTTATCTATTCTTTTAATATTGATTATGTTTGCATGGCACTGCTTAGTTTATTGGTTTTTGCAGCGAAAATTTTGTTTGGATTGAATTCTAAAAAAGATAAAATGTAAAATCCATGTTAATATAAAAAATTTTATTTGGATGCAAAAACAGTGTCAGATCCACACACATATTAAAATCATAATTCACAACCACAATTTAATTCAAAGCATGATTTCTACACTGATATTTAAATTTGTTTTTTTCATGTTTTTCTGATTGTGCTACATGAAAAAAATCTCATATTCAAACCCTTTAGTAGTAAGTACATTTGTGCCAAAAAAAAAAGCATCAGTTTGTGCCACTTGTTTGCAAAAAAACTAAAATTGTTTGATCCAAGAATTAAATATATCATTGTTACTATTCTTATATAAAATCCATTAAGAAGAATATAAAAGATACAGGCTATATGTAATATTGAGACAGTGTACATTGTGTATACTAAACACAGGAATAAAAATAAGGAACAACTTGAAACTGCATGCTATGTACTTCCCAGTTCGTGTTAATGAGATACTACATGTTTTGTAACTCCTAACAGAATCATGTGTGTAGATATAAGAAGATGTGGTATGAGTGCCAATGAGACAACTCTCCATCCAAGTCAAAATTTATAAAAGTAAACCAATACACTGAACAGCAAGCTATAAAGGGCCCCAAACATTACTAGTGTAAAACCATTCAAACGGGAAAAACCAACGGTCTAATCTATATAAAAAAACGAGAAACACTAATGAACCACATCAACAAACGACAACTACTGAACATCAGATTCCTGACTTAGGACAGGTGCAAACAAATGCAGCGGGTTTAAACGTTTTAATGGTACCAAACCTTCACCCTTATCTGAAACAATAGTGTAACATCACAACATAGAAAGACACACTATAAAATATCAATTGAAATGGCTTAACTCAATCAAAAGACATATTAACACCAGTGAACATACACTGAACAAATAAATTTGATCTATGATACAATGTAAATACAAAATAAATAAACTAAGGGAAGAGTAATTAAAGTAACATGTTATACCGCTGTGAAATGTTAAACAATTTAAGAAAAACAATATGATTGAACAAAAATATCAGCCATTTGCAATTACTTTAAACACAGGTAAATGAAAATAATTTTGTTGTTAAGTATATGTGTAGTGTACCTGGTGGTTGGGGTGTGTGAAAAAATGTATAATCATCCCTGGTTTACAGTGTATGTAACCAGTAATCATATCCCCTACATTTAAAAGATGCTTTATAAGCTTTTATTGAAAGTGAATATGTAAAAAAGCAATATTATCTTAGTTTTATCTTTCTTTTCTAGAAAAATTGATCCTAACACCAGTAAAGCAATGAAGATTTATCCCTTGCCACATATGTATGTCATTAAAGATCTGGTTCCAGTAAGTAATGCATAGATGACATTTAAGCATGTAGAGTGCTTCCATTATATGTTTCAATGGTTATAATTACAATGGGTACCAGATTTATTATATATACTGGTTAACGTCCATGCATCCAATGAAACTTTTATCACATTTTCTTAGGAATTACATATCAGAGCTTCCTGTAATTTGATAGCAAGCATTCATGTGGGTTTCATCGGCTTCCTGTTTACAGAAAAAACCTATATATTCCTACACATAATGGCCATGTATGAAATTTTTGTCCCATTTTTCTATAAACTACAATTCAGGCCTTTTTCAAATTTTGAATTAAATTTCATGTGACCATGCTAAACCCTGTGATTTGGGAGGGTTAAAAAAAATAATGGTCAAAATATGTGTACTTTTTGGGACAAAAATATAAGTTTAATTTGTTTGTAAGACAGGCATTCATATGTTTCTTTTTGATAGATTTGAATATAAAATAATGAATGGATACATAGTTCATTTTGATATTTTTTTACAGGATATGAGCAATTTTTATGCCCAGTACAGAGCGATTGAACCCTACCTAAAAAAGAAGGATGGTTCTGAGAAAGACATTGGTAAAACCCAGTATCTACAGTCAGTAAAGGATAGAGCTAAACTGGTAAGACAAATACTACATTTATATTTATAAGTCATTATTTTTTCAAAACATTTTCAATTTAAAACTATATATCAAATTAATTTATTTAAAACTTTTTTTAAATTGGCAAGCAAAATCATTCATCATTTTGGGAAGTTTTGGATGACATTCAGTCATGTATAATGTTGCAATCGATAATGGCTGTCTTTTATCATATTGTTGAAATATTTCAAAATTATCTTGGCTATATTTTTGGGTTTCATTAACACAGTTATTGTTCCCTAAGTTTTGTAGTCTTAAATAATGACTCAATGTATCTATATCAAACCCATAGGTAATAAGCTTAAGAAGTAATTTTCACATCCATTGTGAAAAGAAGCCAAATTTTCCATTTATAGGTCAGAAAATATTTGAAAAGGTCTTGTCTAGGTGCTGTTTATATTTTAAAATTAGAAAAACTGACTAGAGTGATGCTTAAGATTTCTCACAATCAATTAGGAATGTCGCTATATGTGAAAAAGCCAAGTTATCTCCCCTTCAAATCAAATAATAATAATAACTTATAATCATAGGTGCCAATTCAAAGAAACACGGTAATTCATTAAGATTTCATGTATAATTGTAAAATCATGCATTATTGGTGTGTACAAACAGTACAATTGAACTTTGTAAGCATATGCATCAATGTTTGATCAATTTCTGTATTTAAGGATGGTTTATATGAGTGTATATTGTGTGCATGCTGTAGTACATCTTGTCCTAGCTACTGGTGGAATTCTGATAAATATCTTGGCCCAGCTGTTCTCATGCAGGCTTACAGGTACATGTAAAACATGAATTTTTTTGTGGGGTTAAAATTTTATCCTTAGAAATGATTTCATGGGGATTAATTTTGGTGGTTTCCTGTTTAAGAAAGTAATAATCTTTATAGGTTCCTTTTTTGTTGGGAATTTCTACTGATGATATCTATCCACTAAATAAAAAAATTAGAATCTCAACAAAAGTTTTAGATGTTACAGTATTTTTATACCCCACCGAGGCGAAGGAGGCATTAAGTTTTACCTTTCTCTGTCTGTACGTACGTCCCAAAATGAGTTTCTGTTCTCTTTCTTTAGTTTGCCTCAACCAGATGGTATTAAACTTATACACAATGCTTACTGTAAACCAACTAATTTTCGCGACTTTCGTAAGTAGAAAAATAGCACAATATAAATCGTCACAAATATGTAAAACTTGGATTTTTCCATATTGAACTACATCAAGTAAGTTTGAGAATCGCGAAATTAAATCGTTGTGAAATGGACTAGAAAGGGCTAATCGTGAAATAAAGTACCCGCGAAAATAAGTTGGTTTACAGTATTACCACCAAACACAGACCAAGTTCAAATGTTGGTGGCATCACTTTCACAGTCTTGAGTTATATCCCAGATGGAAAAAATATCTAAATTTGTTGTTTTCGCACTCTAACTTTAGTTTGCCTCATCCAAATGTTATGAAAAACTTACACAATGCTTATTACCTCCAAACACAGATTAAGATCACATTTGGGTGGCATCACTTTCATTGTTTGTAAATTGAAAAATTTCTGAATTTGACGTATAATTACCAGCAGGTGCAACTGTGTACCATGGACACATTCTTCATTTGTGTAGAAATATATTGCATACGTTTTTGTACAAGCAAATATACATACATGTATTTTTAAACAGTATTGCAAAAGGAATTAAAAAATGACATTAAGAGGCCTTCAACAATAGACAGGCATTTACCTTGAATTTCAGATGACTTATCCACATCAAAATTTCTAATACATGTACATGTATTATAATATGAGTGTATACTTTCAGATGGATGATTGATTCCAGAGATGATTTTACCAATGAAAGACTGTCCATGATGGAAGACAAGTTCTCTGTGTACAGGTGCCACACCATTATGAACTGTACAAAGACATGTCCAAAGGTAAGGCACCTAAGTCTAGTATACCATAGAGGTAGAGGGTGCCTGGGTCCCCTTCGGCCAAAAATTTGTGGGTGCTTGTATACAAGAAAGTATTTTTAGGTGCTGTATCTGTTCCAACCTCCAATCAACCCCAATATTTTTTGGTTGCCCCTTTTTGTAAATCCTGGATATTTACTGAAGCACAGACTAAAAATTTAAATGAAATTAAATGTCTGACAAAAGCAATCTTTATAGTCGTAGCCTCACAACTTAAAACAGTAAATTCAAACCTTCACCTCTTTATAAGATGTCACTCAGACAAATTCATGAAGTAGTCTTGGTGTTATATGTTTAGTTGAAATCATCTCAAATAAATGAATGTAAATAGTTTTTGAAATATTGACTTTAACACATTTGCTGATGATTAAAAAAATATACAAGGGACAATCAGTGGCTTTAAATTAAAGAAAGAAAAAGTGATAACATCACTACAAAATAAAAAAAGATAGAAAGGCAACAAGATACATTATACAAAAATCTATGGTTGAGCTACATAAATTTCATAAAAAAAAAAGATGAACTGATTGGAAGCAGTTTCTTTACACATTTGACACCATTCAGTTTTATTGTTGAAAAATCCAGTATCAGGACATATCTGTAGATTTTATAATACTCATGGACGAAGGAAGGTATTGCAAGTAATAAGACAAATGTAACATTTCTTTACTCATCTGTGACACAACTTTGTGTTATATAATAACTACCAACCAAATGATGAAGCTGCCATAAAACTGTTGAAGTAATGACTTTAGCTATACTAGAAAGAATCTTTGCCTGAAAAAATTCTAAACAATGCTAAAACCATATTTATTATATACTATGTCTTAAATACAAGAAAACTGTATCAACTTTGAGTGTTGATATTGATATCAGTTCATGGTTGCACAGGAAAAACATCTGTCTTAAGTTTATAATAAAGTGTATATGATATGGCTTATTCAATATCACACAACTTTTCAACCCTTATCCTACTGTAAATTCAGAAATTATTGCATGCATTTATTATTGCAATTTTTGAAAAATGGACAAAAATGGGAGATCATTTATTGCGAATATGCGTACAAATATATGCATCAGATATCAGAATTCGAGTTGCATTATTCACATTAATAAAAACCTCGCAATAATTTCTGAATTTGCAGTATATAATACCTCAAGCTGAGCTCTTAGTATCATATTGGTTCCTCATATTGATAAGGAGGGATTTAACTATGCGATATGAATTTTGCTCATTGTTGAAAGCTGTACGGTGACCTATAGTTTTTTAATTCTATGTCATTTGGTCTCTGGTGAAGAGTTGTCTCATTGGCAATCACATTTTTTTTTTTTCATTAGCAATCACTTCTTATTTTTTTATATAATTTTTAATAATCATTTTCAGATAGTTATACAATGTGTTTTGTTTAACTTATGTCTTTCATTAAATTCTTTTGATTTCAGGGATTGAATCCAGGTCTGGCAATAGGAGAAATCAAGAAGATGTTAGCTCTATACCAGAGTGAAGCAAAGACAGCCAAAGCTTAATTAGACTTATCATGTGATAGAGTGACATCTTTTTTAAAAAGTTTTCCAACTACTTTTATAATGTTTTAGTTGTTATCCTATCTTGTTTTTTGTGTTTAGAACTTTACTATTGGCATTCTATCATTTTGATAAAAAAACTAGCAGTTCAAAAGTTCTGCTGTTGATAGATAGAGAGAAAGAGAAGAAAAATTAATAATAATATTTTTATTGTTAGAATTATACATATTTTTGTGTTGATATATCTAATGTCATAAGGAATTCAACACAATCAGAATTCTTTTCTGAAATAAAGTCAGAAAAGTAGGTTTGATTTAAAACATAAAAAGATGTCTTCCTGAGAAGTGAATTTTAACATCTTTATTCTGAATTCTGACACTCAATGCTGAATGATCGCACATAGAAATCTACCAGTATTTTCTATTGAAATTCTACTGCTATACTGGAGTTATAATAGCAACATAGTAGAAATTTATATTATGTTATCAACAAAGCTTTACTTTAATATTATAAAAAAAGCTTTGCAAATAGAAAGTATGAAAAATTTCGATGTTTATAGACAAATTATCTATTTTCATAAATATAATATACTAATTTATTACTTGCACATCATGGTACAACTGTTGGAAGAGGAAATTAGTTGGCTTGGCTTTTTAAATAAACAGTTAGAATCAAGTAAGCTTTTTTAATTGATATCTCCATTTTAATATTACAAAAAAAACATGTATCATGGTTGCAGATAATTCTAAATTATAAAATGATGCTAAGTAACAAAATGAAATCCTTTCATTATGGCAATCATTTTACTAAAATCAGTAACATATGGTATTAAAAAGATTTTGTGTAGCACCTGCTTTTTCAAAAAGCAAATATTGTTTTCTGTTAAATAAGTAATATATAAATATGAAGCTTAATTTTGTTTGTTTTTTATGCCCATTGAGAACGTTTGACATTTGATATGTTTTTAAGTCAGTCACAAATATGTAGTACCTTTTCACCTTAAAAAATGAAGGGATTTGGTCATAGCATACATGAGACAGTTCTCAAATACATTATATTACGCTTGAAATAAGAGAGGAGGTAGGGGGTTGGGCACCACATGATATTTTATTCTGTGTGTAAAAGGGTTGGAAGCAACTACAATTCTGTTACAAATGAAAATAAAAAAAAAAGTGAAATTTTAAGGTCAAATGTTACCCAACTTTACCTGAATGTTACTTAGGGAATCAAGTTTGAAAATTGTAACCTGAGATTTTACCCATCAACAAACATGGCCACTGTTGCCATGAATAGAACTTAGGTCTGATAAAATGCAGTTCATGGCATACATCTTTAAACAGTTGAGGCAAAACTGATGTACGGTAACAATGATCAGCATGTCAGGGTCTATCTGCTATTGAACTTTCCCAAAAAATCTGACAATCTATTTTGGAGATATTGCTCTTAAAATGTCATTTTTTTAGTAAATTTCAGATTTTGGCTAATATATCAAAACTAAAACAGTTGGAGCAAAACTGACAGGATAAAAATGATCCGCAGGTGAAGGTGTATTTCTTCTGTAATTTTCAGGAAGATTGGACAATCCATTTCTGAAATGTCAGTTTTAGCAAATTCACAAGTATTTATCTTGAAAACTATAATAGATGGAGAGATATTTTAAACAGTATTCTTTACTGTTTAAAACTTCTCTTCATCTATTATAGTATTCAACCACATTTCCTATTTTCACCAAAATAATGTATGGAAGATCTTCAGAAACGACTATGATTTGAATATTCCAGTCAAAGAAAAACATGGCTACCAGAGGCAACCTTTGAACTGGATTGTCCAACTTAAAAAAAAATTATTCTGAATCTGCAAGGCCAAATGTTTTGAAGCTAGACAGGTACTGGTATGTTTATTGAATGATCCCCTACAGGTAACCTAATGCAATGTTTATCAGATGACAAACATGAACGTAATAATTTCCCATAGTTCCCATAGAAACTTTAAGAAAAATAAAATTTTCATTTTGCTATGAAACTGCAAAAGATTTTTACTTGTGTCCACTCATATATAAAACTTTGCTGCTGAAGGCGATCTTGACTCAAATTTACCTTGAATGATTTATGAAACAACAAGGCTAACTGTTTTGAAGTCCAGGGTTATTAAGGATTAGATAGCCTGGCATCCTGACCCAATCTAATACTGTCGAGAAGTGAGCCAGGAGCCCAGGCTAAAGATTTGAAGACCCTTAACAAACGATCCTCATTTACTATGATCTGGTGGCAAACATGACTGCCGTGGTTGCATTGAATCCCTATACACATTGTAAAATAACATGTTCATATGCAAACCATAGCTATTTTAACGGAAGATATGATGAATGGAAGGTCGTTCTCAATCTCGTGTGGTTCTGTTCTGAAGGTAAACATGGTAGCTATATAGTGAGATGCAATGGTGAGTACCGATTGGCTGGTTTTCAAAAATATCTTAAACTGAAAGGCAAACTATTTTGAAACTTAGGGAATTATGACCAAAGACTCCTAGATACTAAGTTAACATTGACATTGGTTGCACATAGTTCCTAATGAAACCTCAGTACTTCGGCATGTTTGGTACTGACATGATCTATAACATACTTTTCTTAAATTCTCTGTTAATAAATTCAGAAATTATTGAAAAGAAACAAAGGTCTAAGTCCCTCCGGCAAAGTTATCCTTAGACGAATTCGGCTATTATTTTCATGTCCCGTTTGGTCATAAAGCTCTTCACGTTTACATGTATTAATACATCATTGGCTTTCAAATTTTTGGGTTTGAACGTTCCTGATGAAGGTAAATCCAGAAAAGCTCTCCTGACGCACACATTTTATGAAGTGTTATTTTCATTCTTAAGCGTACTTCCTTGATAAACATGCACATATATAACACGGCATACGTTAGGCATGAGCCCCTCCGTCCAGACTCATTGGTTTTAATAAAAAAAAAAAATATGAGGTTTTTATCGTTAAGTTTTTATCATTTCTGCTGAGGGAAAGCTAATATAAGTTATATGGTTCGCTACTGACCCCCTACGGATCCATAGAGGGTGAGTAAAATCCATAGGGGGTGAGGCCGAAGGCCGAATCTCCTATGGTTTTTATTCACCCTCTATGGTCCGTAGGGGGTCAGTAGTTAACCGTATAACGAATTTATCGCCCGCGAGACTTTTTTCCGCTGTGTTTTGTAGAGAAATAAACAATTAAACACAACAACATTAATAGATGACGTCACTATTAACAGTAGACGTGACGTCATGAACCCCCTATGAAATTTACTAACCCCCTACGGATCCATAGGGGGTCACCACGTGACGGCGTTAAACCAATCACAACGTGATAATTTACCGGCGGTGCGATAATATGTCATAGCCCTCCTTCTAATCAAACGACCCGACTTGAGCTTAAAACAGTTCACGATCCTAAAGCAGGAAAAGGCAAATAGATAATGTCACAGAAACTAAAGCACTAAAGAGCACTACTGAATCTATGTGCAAATTCAACAATGACCACTCTCCAACATTATAAACCAGCATATAATTCATGACTAAAATTCGCCTTTTTGCTGATCTTTTTCGTTGAATTACTGCTTCTCTTATTATAGTTTTCGCTGTTTGAAGTTTCTGCTTAACTACTATACTTTGCCTAACAATCTTGGGTAAAAATCTTCAATGAACAGCAATTACTCCTTTTAGTGGTTCACTGCCGATTTTGCCACGATGGCTTATCTATAGGTGTAGTCTTGTTAATATTTCTTATCATTTAAAGTTTCTCTTTATCTATTATAGTTTTCAAGGTAATAGGTCTAATTTGAAAGGGGGGTGTCGATTCCGGTTTCGAAGCTTTATTAGTAAATATTGTCTTGCTGATCATTTTTGCTGCTTAGAGTTTCTCTCTATCTATGATAGTTCTCAAGATAATAGACAAAAGAACAAAAACAGTAAATATCGTTACCTAAAGACAATGACTCATAAAAGAGGTCGTCTTAAAGGTTTGCTTTTAAATGGACGGTAGGTAGGTCACATCATTCTAGTTCAATCATTTCTGCCCATGTCAGTTTTTCTCGACCCGTAACGGTTTACAAGATAAAAGGCAATAATTGCATTTTACCCCTATGTTCTAATTTTAGCCTTGGCGGTAATGTTGGCAGGCTGGATCACCCGACACATTTTTATACGACTTTTGCGGTCATATATTGGTATGACGTCGTCGTCGTCGTCCGAAGACACATTGGTTTTCGCACAATAACTTTAGTTTAAGTGAATGGATCTCTATGAAACTTTACCATAAGGTTCAATACCACAAAAGGAAGGTTGGGATTGATTTTGGGGGTTATGGAACCAACAGTTAAGGAATTAGGGGCAAAAAAAGGGCCCAAATAAGCATTTTTCTGGTTTCCAGACAATAACTTGTCGAACGGTGTATGAATCTCTCTGAAATTATACCACAAGTTTCCATACCACAAAGGGATGGTTAGGATTGACTTTGGGGGGTTATGGCTGAAACCGTTTAGGAATTAAGGGCAAAAAAAAGGGGAAAACAAGGGTTTCCTGGTTAATGGACAATTTAAAAGCAGTGTAAGGGAGGTAATCAAAATACATTTAAAGTATTGAACAAAAAATTTGGATTACCTCTCTTGCATTGCTTTTAAATTATGTATAAAGATGTTGTATTGTCTTGAGGTGTTTAGCTGTCAATTAATTTTTGTCGAGCCTGCGACTTTTGTCGCAGAAAGCTCGACATAGGGATAGTGATCCGGCGGCGGCGGCGTTAGCTAACTTCTTAAAAGCTTTATAATTTAGAAGGTGGAAGACCTGGATGCTTCATACTTTGTATATAGATGCCTCATGTTACGAAGTTTCCGTCAGTCATATGTCCAATGTTCTTGACCTCATTTTCATGGTTCAGTGACTACTTGAACAAAAAGTTCAGATTTTTTGGAATGTTAAATTCTCTCTTATTATAAGTAATAGGATAACTATATTTGGTATGTGTGTACCTTGCAAGGTCCTCATGCCCGTCAGACAGTTTTCACTTGACCTCGACCTCATTTCATGGATCAGTGAACAAGGTTAAGTTTTCGTGGTCAAGTCCATATCTGAGATACTATAAGCAATATGTCTACTATATTTGGTGTATGTAATGATAGTACGGTGTACATGTCCAACTGGCAGGTGTCATCTGACCTTGACCTCATTTTCATGGTTCAGTGGTCATAGTTAAGTTTTTGTGTTTTGGTCTGTTTTTCTAATACTGTATGCAATAGGTCAACTGTATTTGGTGTATGGAAATATTTTACGATCTTCATGTCGGTCTGGCAAGTTTTATTTTACCTTGACCTCATTTTCACGGTTCATTGCTCAATGTTAAGTTTTTGTGTGTTTTGGTCTGTTTTTCTAATACTGTATGCAGTAGGTCAACTTTATTTGGTGTATGGAAATATTTTACGATGTACATGTCAGTCTGGCATGTTTTATTTGACAATGACCTCATTTTCAAGGTTCATTGCTAAATGTTAAGTTTTTGTGTTTTGGTCTGTTTTCCTAAAACTGTATGCAGTAGGTCAACTATATTTGGTGTATGGAAATATTTAATGATGTACATGTCAGTCTGGCAGGTTTTATTTGACCTTGACCTCATTTTCATGGTTCATTGCTTATGTTTAGTTTTTGTGTTTTGGTCTGTTTTTCTTACACTTTAAGCAATAGGTCAACTATATTTGATTAATGGAATGATTGTAAGGTGTATATGTCTGTCTGGCAGGTATCATCTGACCTCCACCTCATTTTCATGGTTGTTTGGTCAATGTTCAGTTTTCCTGGTTAACTTTTTTTCTTAGATACCTTAAGCAATAGATCAACTATATTTGGAATGATTTTAATGTGTACATGTCTG